AAACCTCCCGTCGTGTTTGGACCCTTCCCCGACACGGGTTTTGCCTCCTGAGTGGTTTGTTGACGGTCCCGAGGCCCGGTGAGGGCCTGCAGAGGCCTATAGCAGCGGCAAAAATCAGTGCCTACCAAACCACCCCAAGCCGACCCGAAGGCCTCGAGTTGCCCTCCATTTCCAGTGGGTGGGGGTGGGTCGGGGAACCTTTTGGAAAAACACGAAGCCCGTACCCCTCGCCGAGCGCGTTCCTTTACTCGCAAAGTGCCTTCTCGCAAACGTCCGAAATATACAGGTCTTCCTCTATGTAATATACTGTAAATCCCCCGCCGTGCATCCAGGCCACTTGCCAGCAGTCACTTTGCGAGCAGCGGAGCGCGCCTGTCCAACCACCCCGGCCTGACATTCGGGTCTCCGGGTTGGGTTGGGGTGGTCTGGTGGGTCGTCAAAATGTTTGTGGAAGTCGATTAATGGAGCGGAAGCATGCTGCCAAATAGTTTCCAGATGCCTTATACATGTTTCAAACATGTTTTAACTATGTAAAAGCATGCTTGGAACACTTTCAGGACATGTTTTGCACATGTTAAACACATGTTTAATTCAATGATACGTCTGTCAGAGTGTCCAGTGCCATGGCGCCCACAGTCAAAGTCAGCTTCCCGCCGTGCTCGTTCCACGTCGCGGCGCGGGGAGGAGGTCTGGGGAGCGCGCGGGCGCGAGGAGGGCCCGTGCCGCCGGCGTCGCGTGCGCGGGCGCGGGCCGCGGGCGCGGCGCGGGCCTCATGGGCCTCTTGGGTGGGGATCGGAGGACCGCGCCGCATCGCCGGTGCATCTGCGTCGAGAATACACACGGTGGAGGAACAAAAACACTGAGATTGCGTGCGTGTGTGATTGAGTGTGTGTGTGTGTGTGTGTTGTGTGTTGTGTTGTGTTGTGTTGTGTGTGTTGTGCGTGTGTGTTGTGTGTTGTGTGTGCTGTGTGTTTGTGTGTGTGTTGTGTTGTGTGTTGTTTTGTGCGTGTGTGTTGTGTGTGTTGTGTGTGTGTTGTGTGTTGTGTGTGTGTTGTGTCTTGTGTGTGTTTATGTTTTTGTTGTGGAGCATCGGCGGACGAACACACTGTGGAGCAAAACAAAGATTGCGTGTGCGTTTCTTGTCATCTGTGTGTGTGTGTCTTATCCACCGTGATTTTGTTCCACCTTTTGCGTTTTTCTACATTAGCCCTGCGGCTCGATGCGGGGCTCAATTTTCTCGACGCCCACGTCGCCGATGCATCGCCGAGGCGTCGGCGATGCATCGGCGATGTGTCGGCGATGCGACGAGATCCTCCGACACCACCTACTCGGACCCCACCGAGGAGGCCTCTGGAGCCAGGCCTCGACGAATCGAGATAAACCAGTCCAGAGCATTCCGGAACGCTCTCAGAGCGTTGGGGCACGCTCTGAAACGGCCGCGGCACCTGATACGTCCTCCGAAGCCGCCGCGTCTCAGAGATTTCCGATGTGTATCGGTCCGATGTTGTCTCGATTCTCGAGGGCGTAACAGATGCCCCTGCCCCTGGTGTGCGAGGCGCTGTGCGCTGAACCTCCTGTGAGCTGCCAGGGGAAGCCCTGCGCCTCGCGCGTGTCGCGCGGCGTCCTGGCGGCTCTCTGGCCATGAGGAGCTCCCTCAGGAGGTGCACAGGCCACACCCCTGTTCCGGATGCAGCACCTTGGAGGTCAACCTCTGACCTTCCCCTGGTCCGAGTTCGGTATTCATCCGGCCTGAGCCCGCGTACTCTGGCTTGATCCCGCTGGATCTGGTTAACTCCCGCCAGTCAGCGGCCTCGTCTGGCGCGAAAGCTCATCAATGGGGCTCGATCTTCTTGAACCCTTCCGGGGGTGAAACCGGAAGCGCTCGTCGTAGAGCGCCACGAGGGATAACCTCGGTGACCTTTGGTTGGGAGCGGTCCCTCCCTGCAAAACCCAAGTAATACACTGCAACACAAGCAATTCCAATGTCACGTCAGGATTGTGTGTCCCCGACAAAGAACTCCCCGTAGTTGCCTCCTAACCAGGGTAGGGGCGTTTGTTCATCCCTCAAGATTCTGCCTTCGCCTCAATCCCAGACCCCAACGTCATGATTCTTCCATGAGGTCGACCCCCAGAGTTCTCGACCCATTCTCCGGGACCGGCTTTTCATCCTGCGCTGCTTTCTGCCCGTCCCGAGGCCCGCCAGGGGCCCCCGGGTGCCGAAACTATAGCGAAAAGCCTCCCGCCGCCTTTTTTTGTTCACGACGCGGGGGAGGTCTGGATTGCCGCGTGGGCCCCCCACCCGCGCCACGCGGGCGCCTCCCTCGGGCGCCCGCTGCGGGCGCCCCGGGGCGGGGCTGCTCCCGCCCGCGTGGTCGGGCGGCCCTCCTCGGCCGCGGGAGGGCCGCCCCACGGGCTCGGGGGGGGCAGGTGCCGGCACGAGCAGGGCCCCGGGGCAGCCTCGGGGGCAGCGGCAGGCTCGGCATCGCTCGGGCGTGTGCAGGCTCCCTCGGCGGGGGCCATCGAGGACGATGGGCCTGTTTTCCACCACCACCACCACCACCATCAGTTGGGGGGGGGAGGGGCTCCTCCTCCTCCTCCTCCTCCTCCTCCTCCTCCTCCTCCTCCTCCTCCTCCTCCTCCTCCTCCTCCTCCTCCTCCTCCTCCTCCTCCTCCTCCTCCTCCCTCCCCCTCCAACTTCTAGTGGTGGTGGTGGTGGTGGAAAACAGGCCCATCAGAGGAGCATCTTGGATCATACTGCGGAAAGGAAGCGCACGGAGCCGAAACGCACGGAGTTGATCGTGACGTGATCGGGGGGGGGGAGGGCGTGGCGGGGCCGGTCACAGGCCTCACCGCTAACAGTAGAAGGGATCATGAAAAATCACCCCGCGGGGTTGTCCGCAGTCTTCGGCCAGTGGCTTCGGGGCCGCACGACTCAGGACGAAACGCGGGTCCCCCAGAAAGGGGCTCAGCCATCTGGGGGTCCACGCGAGGAACAATGCAAGACGTCGGGAGCATGATGGTCTCGCAGCGCCTGGACGCCCTTCCGGCTATTATAGGGAACGCGAGCATCGATGGCACACCGCCGTGGGGAGCCCGTGAGCGTGCTGTTCTTATTGTCTTTCCCCGAAGACCTGGCGCTTCCCCAGAGATCCGATGTCCTCTCTTGTTTCATCGCGGGGCCCCTGGAAGTCTCTGCCCACTCCTTTCGGGTTTTGCTAGAAGTACCCCTGGCCCAAGGTACCCCCAGGATTCTCGGGGTGGCCCAGAATGCCTCCAGGGCGCCCCTCACGAGGCCCAGGGGGCCCCAGGGGCTCCAAAATGGAGCGAAAAGCTGGGGGCACCTTGGGCCAGGGACACTTCTAGCAACACCCGATCCTTGTCCGCCCGGGTTTGTGGCTCTCATCCTGAGTCGTGTTTGGCGGTCCCCGGGGTCGGCGTGCGGCCTCCAGAGGCCGGAGACTGCGACAACATTTCCGTCCTGATTCTTGATTATTGCTCAACGCGTTGGAGATCTGTGTGTCTTCAACCAAGGCACGCTGGTGGGTTCCTCGCGGCGGCGTGCAAGCCAAGTTGTTGGCATCGCGGCTGCTCCCCACCCAAAAGCGGCACCGCCAGCCGAGGTGGTGCGCGGACGCGCCCGAGAAGTGCGGGCAGCCCCGAGCTCTGGCCAGGGTGAGCCGCCCCGCAGGAAAGCGAGTCCTGGAGGAAGCTGCACTTCCCCGGGGTCCTGGCGCCTGGGTTTTCTCGAGCCGGGCAAACTCGCCCGGTAGTTTCACAGATCGATCAGCCGTGAGAAATGACATCGCAAGATGGGGTCTGGGCTCTGGTGCCAGACCCACGCTATGATTTTTTCATGACGTGGACCCCCAGAGGACTCGACCCATTCTCCAGGACCGGTGTTTCATCCTGAGTCGTTTTTGGACCGTCCCGAGGCCCGGTAAGGGCTTCGAGGGGCCGAAAGTATCGAAAAACCTCCTGTCGCGATTGTTTCTCCTCCTTCTCCTCCTTCTCCTCCTCCTCCTCCTCCTCCTCCTCCTCCTCCTCCTCGTATCTCTTGCACGATGCTTCCATGGGGTCGCGTCGTCGGGCCTCAGGCTGTCCGGCAGGCGTTTCCGCCGTGGTTTCGGTCTCTCGCCGGCCCTCCCCAGGCCCCGGGCTGCCGACAAAAAAGCCGGCTCGGGGTGAGGAGGAATATTCAACAGTAGTCCAAAAATAATATGGGGACGAGTTTTTTTTTGTGTGTATTGTTTAAAATATGTTTGAATGTTTCGCCGAAAATCCGCCTGTAGGGGGACATGCCCGACCTGAAATTTCGGCGGTCCCGGGGAATGGCCGTGTGGGACCAGAGCAGGCTTCCACCAGGACCCTTTCTGAAGGTCGGAAAGGGGTGTTGCACATAAGGGGTGTGGTTCGAAGGAGAAAAATGTCACAAACATAAAAATTTGGCGCTCCGCGCGGATTTCTCGGATCCGCGCTGGGGCCACCCTGGCAGCGCTTCCGGCGCCGCCCCTGGCGCGCTACACGCGCCAGGAAGGGGGGGTCCAGCGCAGATCCCAGAAATCCGCGCGGAGCGCCAAAAGGTTATGTATTGCAGTTTGTTCTTCCTCTACTGGTGCCAATCGTCGAAAAATTGCGATGTTATCTATACTGGCGAGCCTCGCCAGATCCACTTTGGTATAGCATTGGCACCACATCCCTTTATACCACACTCTTAAAAGGTGCAGGGTTCGCGAGGCACTGGTTTCCGTCCAAAACAGCCGAAGCCCTTACAAAACACTCCGAAATCCATCCGGGAAGGGTTCCGGGAGGCCTTTCGGAGGATTTCCGGAGGGTTTTTTGGGGGGGTCGTCGTTATGTGGGGAAGCCAGTGCCTAGGGCCTAGCGAACCCTGGGCTTTCTAACCGCGCCACTTTCCTACCCTCAGGCCCGTCTCTCATGCCGTGTCGCGGGGGTTCCAGGTCTCACCGCCTGCTGCGGCGCCGTGGCCGACTGGAGAAAGAGGCTCCTCTGGGAGACGCTCGGTTGCGCTCGTCTTAAGTCGGGCATGTCTCTGTACAGAAGAAGTATTCCAGAAGATCTTGAAATATAGCATGGGAAGAAAAAGTTTCGCACTCCTCTGATTTATTGCTTGCTTTGATGTTACCTCTTTTCATGTTTCTCCCAAGATCCGCCCGGGTGAGGACATGCCCGACCTTTCGTTCGTGCGACCGAGTGCCCTGCCCCCCCCCCGCTCCCTCACTGGGCCTCGCTGGAGAGATTCGAGGCTACGCGCACACAGCCCCCAGAGATTTTTTGTTTGCTTTTGTTTGCCTCTTTTCATGTGTTTTACCAAGATCCGCCCGGGTGAGGACATGCCCGACCTTTCGTTCGTGCGACCGAGTGCCCTGCCCCCCCCCCTCGCCTCCTCCCTCCTCCCTCCTCCCTTCCTCGCTGGGTTTCGCTGGGGAGATTTGAGGCTGCGCGCAGACGGCTGCCTCAGCGCCTGTGCGCCGTCTTCGCAGCCCCGAGGGCCACGACCAGCCTGGGCTATGGAGCCTCGGGGGCGGCAAAGAGGGGGGTGATGACTAGGGGGTGGTGGAGGAGGAGGAGGAGGAGGAAGACCAGGAGGAGGAGGAGGAGGAGGAGGGTGTGGATAACATGGCGGTGGCCATGATAGTTCCCCAGATTTCAAGGCGCCTCATCTTATTTCATTACGTCCCTGGCCCCCCCCGCTGGGCCGCGCACATGCCGCCGGTCATGACTTGCACCCCCCCCTCTTGGACACCCCCCTCTTGGCCGCTCCCGAGAGCCATTCAGGTCAGCTTGGACTGCCTCTGGGGGCTGTCTGAGCGCAACCCCAAGCCTTGCGATCGCAGTCCTTCATTTGCAGGTGTAGCTCGGAGCACAGTGGCACATTCTGCGAGACTGGCCACAGCTTCTGGTCAGAATTCTACGATGACCTGGGCCAAGTCCAGATGGGGCGACGTCCAGGACAATGTGTTCCGCTTGTGGGTGCCCACGGATTGACGACTCGATTGTCTCCTCTGAAGGCTCCACACCCTCGCCGCATCTGAAGAGGAACAGACCAGGCAGTTCAAGCAGGTCGGCGGTGCGAACATGCAGGGCGTGATCCCCACCGACACGAAGTTCTCCGCTCCCTGTCACCCTGCGCCTTCGCCACGCAGACCTTCTTCACATCTCTCGATCATTGTGAGGTGTATGTAGGCTTCTCAGCCGCGGTGTCTCGCTCGGTACACAATATGTTGTGTGTTGTTTCTATGTCTCTCTTTCTCTCTCTCTCTCTCTCTCTGTCTCTCTCACACACATGTTTTGTTAGGGTTGTGTGGCAAGAGCTGGCTGCGGTGCAGATTGTGAGCGGCACCAGTGCCCCTAAGATCTGTTGCATGGTGACATATTCCAGCCATGTTACAACGCGTCCACCCTTGCTTATCATATCCTCCCTCCGCATTCCTCTTCCGCTTCCCCCCTCCTGCAACTATCCTACGGCACCTCCCGCCTCCTCTGCTTCATCCCTCTCCTCTCCTTCTCATCCCAAACATTTCTTCCTGCGCCGTCCTCTTCCTCCTCCCCTTTTCTGGGATCCGCAAGGGGCCTCCCTCAACCCGACAAAGGTCACACTCTATGGGGGTCTAACTTTCTATTGGTTCAAGAAGGCCATTGTGTTCGTTTCGTGCGCCCCAGGGTGGCCAGAATTGCATTCCCACGTTCGATTCCTGGATGCAGGATTCAGCCCGCACGTTGCTGGCTAGTATCGGATTGACAGCTCTTCCCTTCCGAGTGGGACGCCGACCCCTCAGACCCGGGCGCTACATGTTTGTTCGCAGCGGGCGTTTTCGTTCAGTTTCTGGCCCTGGCACCCTCACAGATCGATCCGGCTCGAAACGAACACAGAATGATTCAGGAGGGCAGAATAAACACAGACACGCATCATCGCAAATGCCTTGGAGAAGATCGAAGATCTGGGAAGTGGAGGGGAAGAATTGAAGAGCATGGGAATCCTGGGGCTAGAGCATCTTTCTTTGTATGCCCCTGGGCTCCTTGAACCAGCTCCTTGCAAGCTGGGGTCCGGGCCCCTGGTCGTGTTTTTCTCGCGTCGTCGGATCCTTGCCGTCGTCGGGTCGCTGTCGTCGACATCGTCGACGTCGTCGTCGTCGTCGGATCGCCGTCGCCGTCGTCGCCGTCGCCGTCGACGTCGTCGTCGTCGTCGTCGGAGCTCGGGCGCGACGTGTCCTCGGGCTTCCCAGGGAGGCCCCACGCGGCCGTCCTGAGCTTCCCCCCTCTCTCTCCTCTCGAGCACGCCTCGCTCGACCCCCCAACACTCGAGCAGTCTCCCAAAGTTCAATGTCCCAACATTCCCGAAATTCAGGTTCCCAAACTAGTTTCCCAAAATTCCTTTTCTCGTCGCATCTCAAAAACACCCAGGAATCCCGGCAGAATTGGGGGGAATCCAGTTTGGGGTACATCGATTCTGTAGTCGATCTCCTACTCGAAACGTGCAGTCCAGAAGCACAGCCGCACGGACACGGAGCCCTCGGGCGACCGCGTCGCTGGCACGAGCTCTCGAGACAGCCTGCCGCACGGCCATGGGCGGTCTGCCTCGGCTCCCGAGTGGATGCGCAACGGGCAAGCGCACAGCGCCCTACAGTCGAGGTTGATTCGTATGACGAACGAACAACACACACCCATACCCAGAAGGGTGGTCGTTGGGAGGCAGACTCGCTATGGGTATGGGTGCGGGTAATCGGACCCTCGGGAACGCTCCCGTTCGAACGGGGACCCCCATCCGACAACACGTACCCATAGCCCTCTCCGACTCCCCTATGGGTATGGGTGTGTGTTGTTGGTTCGTCACCCTATGTCTCGCGACACGCCTTCTACATTCCGGTGGCAGTGTGTCCCTCGGAAGGGCCTCGTGTCCTCTCGCGTGTCCTCTCCGATCAACCTCGACCAGATTCGGATGCAGCCCATGGGAGGTCAAATTCTGACGTTGCTTTAGGCCGAAGTCCAGCTTCATCCGTCTTAATCCCGCCCACTATGGCTTTGTGCCGCTCGATCCGCCTTAATCCCGCTCAAGCCACGGCCCCATTCGGCGTAGCAGCCCCTCAGTGAGGGGCGCAGTTCGCCTTCATCCTTCCGACGATGACCTCCCAGCAGTTACCCCCTAAAGTGTGAGGTCGGAGTTTGTGGCTCCATCGTCGTAGGCCCAGAAATTGACACCAATTCCAAGATCGGCGGTGTGCCTCCACCGACGGAAGATTCTCCCTATCTTGGCGATGGTGGTAACATTCGGGTTTCCTAGGTTGCCGAACCACTACCACCAAAACCACCATGTCTACAGGCGGCCCAGATTAGTAGGTCGACCCTGCCAGGTCGAGGGTACCCTCGTGTCCTGTGTCTTGCGACCCACGCCTCCTGCATTTCTGTGGCAACGTGGCCCTCGGAAGGATCTTCTGTCCTCTCGCGTGTCCTCTCCAATCAAGTCCGACTGTAGGATCATCTGCCCCCGGTGGAGGCACCCCCTGTGTTGGTGTTGGCGCTCATTTCCAGGCCTCCACTATCGGGTGGTATCCTCAGGTGGCTGCACCTAAACGGTGTTCTGGCGATTTCGTGGGCCCTTTTCGTTTCGATTTCGTTTTGCTGTAAAGGCGAATCGAAGACGAAACGAGGGAGAACGAACAAAAAACGAAAACGAAAAACACCGTTTAGGTTCAGCCCTGTGTTATCCGCCTCCCGAGCACGCCAGCAGACCGCGCCCGGCGCCGCGCGCGCGCTGCGCGCGCGCGCGGTGGCGCGGCCAGGCTCCAGATCTCCCTCGCGTGCAACGGCTCCCAGGACGGATCCGCCCTTTCCCCTGCTGGGCTCCTGGCTCCTGCGGCCGGCCCCCGAGGAGGACGGATCGAGGAGGAGCAGGAGGGGGAGGAGGGGGAGGAGGAGGAGGAGGAGGAGGGGGAGGAGGAGGAGGAGGAGGATTTCTGGAGTTCTGGATATAGCGACTAGGTCGGTGACGGCTAAATTAGTTAGATCTCTTGGCACGCTCAGCTTTGCTGTAGACCTTAGGCCAAAGATTACGCGAAATTCGGTCAAGGTAATCAGCCCGATTACCCTCAATTCTGTCTGGACACAATTGCGCTAGGTTAACGAGCTGCTGAGCTGCGTAATCCCCACACGCTGTGCAAAACCAGACCCCCAGCCCCGCGTGATATCTTAATTGATGGCTCTGGTGGGCAAAACCTCCCCCAATGTGCGCCCGCCGCCCAGGGGGGAGTTCAAAACAGAACCATTCACATTCAACAGGTCGAAACACTGAGACTGGAGCCAAGCGGTTTGTTTAGCTTTAGTGGTCGACCCCCTGCACCTACTACACCTGCGAGGATCATTAGCACACAGTAAATGTTGAGAACTGAACATAGCACAAACAGAAGGGGCAGGCGGGCAAGCGACGGGAGCCTTTTTCTCACGTCTCAGCCTCGACTGGGCTCTCTCAAGTTCCTCAGCCTTCAGCACCTCGATCTGGCTCTGCAAGATCCGCAGCCTCACGAGGTACGCCATGTGCTCTGCCTGGTGGTACCTGAAACGCGTGGCCCCTGGCAGTCTAGCGAGCTGGGCGCCCACTCCTGCGTACATGTCGGCCAGCGCGTTCCCCTTGATCAGAAACTCTGGTGCCGTGCGCTCATCCACGGCAATCACATCTTGATGAGAATGAACAAACCGTACTGCGCACGACAGGGTCGGTTCCCGTGCCAACACTCGTCCGATCTGCCACCACAGGTCAGCGTCAGGCCCGTCGGGTTTCTCATATCTGAAACAATGCCAACCTATCGACACCGCCTCGTTGTCGGTCGCGAATACCGCGTTGCCGTCACTGCCGTCCAAGAAAAGGAGCAATGCCTGCAGCTCACCGCGGGCAACCACCTGGCGACTACCTGGCAGTGCTCCCCATACCCCAAAGGCTGCGTCGCCACTCGTATCGATGCCCGTGAACATCGCCAGGCCAACTCCC